GGAGAGAGACAGACCGGACAAGACACAGCGACAGCAACAGAAGAATAGGTGATGGAGAGACACACCAGACAAGACACAGAGAAAGCAACAGAAGAATAAGATATGATGGAGAGAGACATCAGAAGAACAGAACAGGCCATAACAGAAGAGGATAGACAAAGGAGACAGTAACAAACAAGAACCTGAGACAGCAACAGACAAGACACAGACAGCAACAGACAAGACACAGACAGCAACAGACAAGACACAGAGAAAGTGACAGAAGAGGGCAGATGGAGAGAGAACAGAGGTGGATTGAGCACACAGTAGAAAGTATCACTTCAAGCTGCTCTATAGATTATAATTAGTTGTATTTATTTGGCCAAATTATAATAGCTGAAATCCAGATAGCGAAAAAAATTTTTGCAGATGAGGTGAAAAAGCCTGTGAAATTACTATTAAAACAATTGTTTACTTTTACACTTTTTACAACCAAGACAGGACGAGAGAGGAGGGTAGACAAGAGACAGCAACATAGAAGACTAACATGCAAACCTCACCGGCCACATTGCCTGTGCGAGCGTTGCAAAATAATGTACAAATACATGTTATTCAATTATTTCTCCCACACTGCACGAACGAGTGTCTGCATAGTCAAGCACTAAAATAGAACTTGGTTCTATTTGAGACGCTCCACGCACTGCAAGTCCCTTCCTTATTGGATATCAGGAAGATATACACCTACATGGATGCTTGAAAGACAAACGAGGAGAGATTCATTAAAGATAATTAAAAACGAACTACGTATCCCTTTGTATCTGTGGATTAATCATCGAAGTAGAGAAACATACGATTTTGTATGACTCTGGGTTAAAATTCTACAAAGAGCCAGCAAAAAAGAGGACATATGCATGTCAGGTAAAATAACAGGACAAACTAGCTACAGTGAGGGAAAAAAGTATTTGATCCCCTGCTGATTTTGCACGTTTGCCCACTGACAAAGAAATGATCAGTCTATAATTTTAATGGTAGGTTTATTTGAACAGTGAGAGACAGAATAACAACCAAAAAATCCAGAAAAACGCATGTCAAAAATTTTATAAATTGATTTTTGCATTTTAATGAGGGAAATAAGTATTTGACCCCCTCTCAATCAGAAAGATTTCTGGCTCCCAGGTGTCTTTCATACAGGTAACGAGCTGAGATTAGGAGCACACTCTTAAAGGGAGTGCTCCCAATCTCAGTTTGTTACCTGTATAAAAGACACCTGTCAACAGAAGCAATCCATCAATCAGATTCCAAACTCTCCAAGGATGTCAGGGACAAGATTGTAGACCTACACAAGGCTGGAACGGGCTACAATACCATCGCCAAGCAGCTTGGTGAGAAGGTGATAACAGTTGGTGCGATTATTCGCAAATGGAAGAAACACAAAAGAACTGTCAATCTCCCTCGGCCTGGGGCTCCATGCAAGATCTCACCTCGTGGAGTTGCAATGATCATGAGAACGGTGAGGAATCAGCCCAGAACTACACGGGAGGATCTTGTCAATGATCTCAAGGCAGCTGGGACCATAGTCACCAAGAAAACAATTGGTAACACACTACGCCGTGAAGGACTGAAATTCTGCAGCGCCCGCAAGGTCCCCCTGCTCAAGAAAGCACATATACAGGGCCGTCTGACCTCTGTGATTGCCAACAAGGGTTTTGCCACCAAGTACTAAGTCATGTTTTGCAGAGGGGTCAAATACTTATTTCCCTCATTAAAATGCAAATCAATTCATAACATTTTTGACATGCGTTTTTCTGGATTTTTTTGTTGTTATTCTGTCTCTCACTGTTCAAATAAACCTACCATTCAAATTATAGACTGATCATGTCTTTGTCAGTGGGCAAACGTACAAAATCAACAAGGGATCAAATACTTTTTTCCCTCACTGTAGCAACAGTTAGCTAGCTAAATGTCCATTAATTTTTCATGTTCATGTTGTGTTTCGACCATCCTCCAAATTAGTATAGTTAATTGGTTCACAGTTGGTTTTGATATTTTAACCTGTGTGTTATGATCGCGCCTAGTGTGGACGGACAAAATCATTTTATTTAATCAGTTTGGCTCAATGGACAGTTCAGAGTCTGTTTGAAGTTGTTGAGGGGTATGGATTTTCTTTTGGCAATACAATGTAGATCTACAGTGCATTAGGAAAGTATTCAGACCCCTTGACTTTTTCCACATTTTGTTACGTTACAGCCTTATTCTAAAACTGATTAAATATTTTTTTCTCATCAATCTACACACAATACCCCATAATGACAAAGCGAAAACAGGTTTTTTTGACATTTTTGCAAATGTATTAAAAATAAAAACAAAAATACCTTATTTACATAAGTATTCAGACACTTTGCTATGAGACTCAAAATTGACCTCAGGTGCATCCTGTTTCCATTGATCATCCTTGAGATGTTTCTACAACTTGATTGGAGTCCAAAAAACCAAGCAAAAGGAATTGTCCGTAGAGCTCCGAGACAGGATTTTGTCGAGGCACAGATCTGGGGAAGGCACCGAAATATTTCTGCAGCATGGCCTCCATCATTCTTAAATGCAGACATTTTGGAACCAACAAAACTATTCCTAGAGCTGGCCACCCGGCCAAACTGAGCAATCGGGGGAGAAGGGCCTTGGTCAGGGAGATGACCAAGAACCCAATGGTCACTCTGACAGAGCTCCAGAGTTCCTCTGTGGAGATGGGAGAACCTTCCAGAAGGACAACCATCTCTGCAGCACTCCACCAATCAGGGCTTTATGGTAGAGTGGCCAGACGGAAGCCACTCCTCAGTAAAAGGCACATGACAGCCCGCTTGGAGTTTGCCAAAAGGCACCTAAAGACTCTCAGACCATGAGAAACAAGATTCTCTGGTCTGTTGAAACCAAGATTGATCTCTTTGGCCTGAATGCCAAGCGTCACGTCTGGAGGAAACCTGGCACCATTCGAAAAGTGAAGCATGTTGGTGGCAGCATCATGCTGTGGGGATGTTTTTCAGTGGCAGGGACTGGGAGACTAATCAGGATCGAGGGAAAGATGAACGGAGCAAAGTACAGAGAGATCCTTGATGAAAACCTGCTCCAGAACGCTTAGGACCTCAGACTGGGGCGAAGGTTCACCTTCCAACAGGACAACGACCCTAAGCACACAGCCAAGACAACGCAGGAGTGGCTTCGGGACAAGTCTCTGAATGTCCTTGAGTAGCCCAGCCAGAGCCCGGACTTGAACCCGATCGAATATCTCTGGAGAGACCTGAAAATAGCTGTGCAGTGACGCTCCCCATCCAACCTGACAGAGCTTGAGAGGATCTGCAGAGAAGAATGGGAGAAACTCCCCAAATACAGATGTGCCAAGCTTGTAGAGTCATACCCAAGAAGACTCGAGGCTGTGATCACTGCCAAAGGTGCTTCAACAAGGTACTGAGTAAAGGGTCTGAATACCATTTCAGTTTTTTTTTAATATAGATTTGCAAACATTTCTAAAAATCTGTTTTTGCTTTGTCATTATGGGGTATTGTGTGTAGATTGATCAGGAAAAAACAACAATTTAATCCATTTTAGAATAAGGCTGTAACGTAACAAAATGTGGAAAAAGTCAAGGGGTCTGAATACTTTCCGAATGCATTGTATTTGTTCCAGAGTAGAGAGTAGAGAGTGTTCCAGAGTAGAGCGCCCCACAGTAGCTTCTGTGATTGAGTACTGGCAGTGTATGCTGTGGCAGGTGGGAAGGTGCAAGTTACCTGAAAAAGATCTGATCTCTCAATGTTCTAATTTCTCACTGTTCATCTCAAAGTGCACCAAATTCATGCATTTAGCTGTTGAAATTCTTTTTTTGTTGCCGGGGTAGGATGCCCCCGGACCTCCCTACTATCTTTGGGCTAAGCCCCCAATGTCTGCAAATCCTAGAAACACCCCTGCAGAGATCTTTTTTATTTATTAAGAACTAATTGGTTTAGATATTTGATTACCCAGCTAGCACATAATGTTCTGAGAACCATATGTTTCTTAGAGCTTGGTGAGATCGTGGTTGTCCTATGGTTATTTTGCATACAACCTTCCCACAACTTTCTTGGAATGGTGCAGGATAGTTGTTTGGCTTTGGAACATTATCAGCACATTTAAGGAACTTGACCAAAAAAAAGAAACGTTATTTCCTTAATTATTTTAAGAGAATGTTTCTTAAAAGTTCAAACATGGTTCCATTTATTTTCAATTTTGGTAATGTTTTAGGAAAGTTCTCCAACTGGTTTGACATTGGGAATGTTCTCAAATAGTTCAGAGAACATTAAAAAACAACATTTATATGTGGGAATTTCAGTACTTCAGCATAATGTTTCCTACAGGTTTCCTCATGGTTCTATTTAAAGTCAAGTTTTCAAATTGTTCCAAGAACATAGATGACCATGTTCTACCAGAAGCAACATACCAAGGTTCCCTCAGTGATGTTACTAACAAAGCTTCCTCTGACATGGCAGCAATAAGAGCAGAAAGCCTTGCATCTCCCAGCTCTAGCTTTGTCCCATTGCCCTTAGCCAAGGATGCTGATGAGGATGACGAATTAGATTTTACAAGTGCTAGTTTTAAGGTGCTCCACAAATATCTGTCCCCATAAACCTCATTAAATAGATGCTTTGTGAAAGATATCAGAAAAAATATCTCTCTGAAAGAGCAGTGAGAAGAGTGTCCTCAGTCAGGATACCCAGTAAAGAGGAGAGTGTCGGGAGCAGAGACACTAGAGAGACACACATCTCCCAGAGTTTCTCAAAGAGTTTCTCCACAATCCAGTCTGGCCAGGATTTCCTCTGCACCATCAATGGAGGAGCCACGGATGTCTCCAACTGCTTCTGTTGGTAGACTTTCACTAGCAGTTTCAAGAAGATCTTCAAGAAGTAGTTTGTCAGAAAGAGCTCCTTCTGAAACAATCATAAGATATTCTGAAAGTGGTTTATCAGGAAGAGCCTTCTCTGAAACATAACTAGTTGATGCAGCACACAGTGTCCTCAGTCAGGCTACCCTTTAGAGAGGAGAGTGTGATGAGAACAGCCGAGACACCAGAGAGACACACATCTCCCAGGGTATCTCCACAAGCATCTTCTGTGATGATTGATGATCAGGTGACTCATGCGGCGGCTTCTGAAAGATCACTGATGACCTCAACTCTGCATTCATAAGATTTTAAGTCTGGTGAGATATTCTACTTGAATTAACTCATAAATTGTTTGATTTGATGGGGGTAATGTTCATATTTATAGTGAATGTATAGATATGGGAATGAAACAAGGCTTAAGCCTTACATTGGATACTATTGTTATAAGCATATGTATAGCCTACTTATAAGCCTAGTTTTGAAAAGACCATCGTCCATATTTATATTTTTCAGTAGGTGGCACTGTGTCTGAGGATAGGTGTGTGGCTGTACAGAAGGGCTTCTCTGGGACATACAGTTGAAGTCGGAAGTTTACATACACCTTAGCCAAATAAATTTAAACTCAGTTTTTCACAATTCCTGACATTTAATCCTAGTAAAAACTCCCTGTCTTAGGTCAATTAGGATCACCACTTTATTTTTTAGAATGTGAAATGTCCGAATAATAGTAGAGAGAATGATTTATTTCAGCTTTTATTTATTTCATCACATTCCCAGTGGGTCAGAAGTTTACATACACTCAATTAGTATTTGGTAGTATTGCCTTTAAATTGTTTAACTTGCGTCAAACGTTTCGGGTAGCCTTCCACAAGCTTCCCACAATAAATTGGGTGTATTTTGGCCCATTCCTCCTGAAAGAGCTGGTGTAACTGAGTCAGGTTTGTAGTCCTCCTTGCTCGCACACGCTTTTTCAGTTCTGCCCACAAATGTTCTATAGGATTGAGGTCAGGGCTTTGTGATGGCCACTCCAATACCTTGACTTTGTTGTCCTTAAGCCATTTTGCCACAACTTTGGAAGTATGCTTGGGGTCATTGTCCATTTGGAAGACCCATTTGCAACCAAGCTTTAACTTCCTGACTGATGTCTTGAGATGTTGCTTCAATATATCCACATAATTTTCCTTCCTCATGATGCTATCTATTTTGTGAAGTGCACCAGTCCCTCCTGCAGCAAAGCACCCCCACAGCATGATGCTTCCACCCCCGTGCTTCACGTTGGGATGGTGTTCTTCAGCTTGCAAGCCACCCCCTTTTTCCTCCAAACATAATGATGGTCATTATGGCCAAACAGTTCTATTTTTGTTTCATTAGACCAGAGGACATTTCTCCAAAAAGTACAATCTTTGTCCCCATGTGCAGTTGCAAACCGTAGTCTGGCTTTTTTATGGCGGTTTTGGAGCAGTGGCTTCTTCCTTGCTGAGCGGCCTTTCAGGTTATGTCGATATAGGACTTGTTTTACTGTGCATATAGATACTTTTGTACCTGTTTCCTCCAGCATCTTCACAAGGTCCTTTGCTGTTGTTCTGGGATTGATTTGCACTTTTCGCACCAAAGTACGTTCATCTCTAGGAGACAGAATGCGTCTCCTTCCTGAGCGGTATGACGGCTGCGTGGTCCCATGGTGTTTATACTTGGATACTATTGTTTGTACAGATGAACCTGGTACCTTCAGGCGTTTGGAAATTGCTCCAGGGATGAACCAGACTTGTGGAGGTCTACCATTGATTTCTTTTGATTTTCCCATGATGTCAAGCAAAGAGGCACTGTGTTTGAAGGTAGGCCTTGAAATACATCCATAGGTACTCCTCCAATTGACTAAAATTATGTCAATTACCCTATCAGAATTTTCCAAGCTGTTTAAAGGCACAGTCAACTTAGTTTATGTAAACTTCTGACCCACTGGAATTGTGATACAGTGAATTATAAGTGAAATAATCTGTCTGTAAACAATTGTTGGAATTATATGTGTCATGCACAAAGTAGATGTCCTAACCAACTTGCCAAAACTATAGTTTGTTAACAAGAAATTTGTGGAGTGGTTGAAAAACGAGTTTTAATGACTCCAACCCCTAAGTGTATATAAACTTCCGACTGTATATCCCTATGGATACACTCCCAGCAGACATTTCCTATCACAACATGGCCCATGGAACTACACAGACTGAGGAGAGACTAGCATTCCATGGAACTACACAAACTGAAGTTTCAGCATTGCATGGAACTACACAAACTGAGGAGAGACTAGCATCACATGAAACCACACAAACTGAGCTTTCAGCATTGCATGGAACTAAACAAGCTGGAAGACTAGGGGCACACCGAACTATACAAATTGAGGAGAGACCAGCGGCCCATGGAACTACACAAACTGAAGAGGGACCAGCCTCCTCCCAAACATCACCCTCAGCCTCTCCTCTGCCTGGTAATGTTGGAAGAATTACTCTGTTCTTTATATGTTCTATTCTTTGTGTGAGAATGTGATATTAGGTAATTCGATGATCCTGTCTGGGGAAATGAAATGAAATGGCTGATATGTACATGACACCAGTTTGTGTATAATTAAAAAAATGTTTTATGTTTTCTCACTACAAGAGTAACATCAGAATACAGAAGAAGAACTGGGGTTGGTTCCTTCACCTGCTGAGGATGTTGTTGAAGTAGCAGAGTGGGTCAAACCAGACAATATAGAGACCAGCAAACCATCAGACTTGGTCAGTCCTCAATATGTAAAGAATGTGCCAATAACAGAATTGGTCAGTCCTCAATATGTAAAGAATGTGCAAATAACAGACTTGGTCAGTCCTCAATATGTAAAGAATGTGCAAATAACAGAATTGGTCAGTCTTCAACATGTAGAGAATGTGCCAATAACAGAATCCTCAAAAACAGAATCCTAGAAAATCCTCAAGATGAGGAGAGTGTCGAAACAACAACTGTGTAGGTAACTACCAACCCCCAGCTTAAAGACACTACCAATGCTCCACACTGTCCTGGGGCAGAGACACCAGAGATGGTCCAGGATGACCAAACTACCAAAACACCAGAGGAGGAGTCTGTCCAGTATTTCACACAACTTTGCTGGAAGAGCATGTATAGTTTTACCCTCTTCCTATTTCAGCAGTGGAGGAGCAGCAGAACTTCCAGCATGTCCCCATTGGTGCAGGACACATAACTCCAGATGTGGACCCTGCTCTGAAAAGCTCTGTCAACCAAGTCTGGACACTGTATCATTTTGCTCAAGAGACCGGCAAAGGGAGCCTGTCTATGAGTGTGTTGTCCCAGCCATCCTGCAATGGCTGTGCCTACATTGAAAGTGTTAGTCCAGAGGATGTCTTTTTGGCAAGGAGGACCTCCCGCCATTCATGTCTAGACTCAGGTCAACTCAGGAGTGGACAAGGACAATCAGGCCAGACCGCTCAGACTGTCAGCAAGTTAGACACTCAGGACACTCAGCAAATCAACATCCCCAACTATCTCCTTGTGGAACGTTCAGCCCCAACCTCGGATATAGCTTCTTCCCAAAAGAAAAATCCAGTTGATCAACAGAGTTGTGCGGCCAACAGGGGACGATGTATTGTCTTCCTGTCCTTCTCTGTGCCGATTGACAGTTTCTGCGGAGGAGACAGGAGCTGTCCACCACAATTTCATACAGGCAATCAACCCATCCAGACCTTGTGCAGATGAGGAGGCAGAGAGGACAGACGCATGCCCGACAACTTCACGTGCCAACTTGGAATGGTCTTTCAAAATCAGCATAAACGTTAACAAAATATAATGCCATGCTGTCCTCGTGCAAAATAAGATATAGGTGAATACTATATTGTGTTTAATGCATTGATCACAGTATTGCAGTATGTTATTTGTCGTTATATTAACCTTATGTATACATTTCCCCCCAAAACAGGACAGACGGTGGGGGATGATAAAGTTGACCAAGAAAAGTGACGGAACAAATGAAGTTTTTTCCATCCGCATTGAATTCTTATAATAAGTGCAATTAATCTGAATCTGCAGTTTTCTTTTTGTTTTTGCATGGGTGAATTGAGTGTATTTCTTTTGTAAACCGTAACATGTCAACTGACATTTGCAGAAATGTAAATAATCCAGATTTGTTTCCCCCTCTATTTAGTTGTGAAAATGACAACTTGCCCAATAAGCTTTTTTCTGCTACACACATGAAAGTTTGACTGTAAAATACAAGAGTATTTGTTATAGCTAACTAGCTTTAGATTTTTCGAAAAACAAAGTATTAATCATAGACAACTTTGGGAAAACGCGGTGGTTTTATATTATGTGCGGCAAAATCGGCACCAAGGGCGGCGCCTATTTAGCTAGTAGGCCTAGTTAGTGCAATGAGCAAGAAATATTTTTGCGGGCGCTGTCCATGGTGCTGATTCAGAAACGCATAAAAAACAGCAGTTCATTTTGTTTGGTTTCCCCCGCGACTAAAATAAAATGGTTCAAGGGTTCGTCACAGATTTTACAAGTGTAATTGATTGACTGATTATTTTATTGATTATTTGATGGATTTATATGGCAGAGTGGTATATTGTCCCCCCGGTCAGCCAGTGCTGCCTCGGTGCCATCATCAGCTCCGCTGCCACTGCCCCAGTGCACTCACCAGCACCTCAGTCCTTCTAGCAGCTGCATGCAAGTGGCACCAACCATGGGGTCCTCTTGCCAATATGGAGAGCAGAGCCCTTCCTCACTGTGCATCCCTGTGCCTGTCCTCTCCAGCCAGTTTGTCTCCCTTCACTACAGGCCCAGGCAGAGACCCAGGACGGCCATAGATGTTCCCGGCTGCAGGAGCCAGTACCTGCCCACATCCAGACGGCTCAACTGCACTTCCTCTTCCTGCAACGTGAATGACAGCTCCAGCTGGGGGCCAGAGCTCGCTTCCCAGGTGTCCTATCATGGAGGACATCGAAGACAGTGTGGGAGTGTCTTCGATGTAGAGCCATAAGCTAGTCATTGCACGTTAGGAAAATGAGACCAAATACTCAACTTTTGACTACTTTAATACACATAAGTGAACTTTGTCCAAATACTGACACCTTCAAATGGAGGGACTAGATACAGGAAACCATAACATAAAGTGTCTTAATAGGGCGTTGGGTCACCATGAGCCACCAGAACAGCTTCAATGCACCTTGGCATAGATTCAACAAGTTCTGGAACTCTATTGGATATGAATTGTTTAATTAACTTAGTAACCACACCTGTGTGGAAGCACCTGCTTTCAAAATATACTGAACAGAAATGTAAATGCAACATGCAACAATTTACAGTTCATATAAGGAAATCAGTCAATTGAAATACATTCATTAGGCCCTAATCTATAGATTTCACATGAATGGGAATACAGATATGCATCTCTTGGCCACAGATACCTTTAAAAAAAAGGTAGGAGTGTGGATCAGAAAACCAGTCAGTATCTGGTGTGACCACCATTTGCCTCATGCAGCACGACACATCTACTTCGCGTAGAGTCGATCAGGCTGTTGATTGTGGCCTGTGGAATGTTGTCCCACTCCTCTTCAATGGCTGGCAAAATTTCGGGATATTTGGTAGAACGGGAACCGTCTGTCGTACACGTCGATCCAGAGCATCCCAAACATGCTAAATGGCTGACATGTCTGGTGAGTATGCAGGCCATGGAAGAACTGGGACATATATTTTCAGCTTCCAGGAATTGTGTACAGATCTTTGCAACATGGGGCCGTGCATTATCATGCTGAAACATGAGGTGATGGTGGTGGATGAATGGAACGACAATGGGCCTCCGGATCTCATCACGGTATCTCTGTGCATTCAAATTGCCACCAATAAAATACAATTGTGTTTGTTGTCCGTAGCTTATGCCTGCCCATACCATAACCCCACCGCCACCATGGGGCACTCTGTTCACAACGTTGACATCAGCAAACCACTCACCCACACAACGCCATACATGTGGTCTGTGGTTGTGAGGTCGGTTGGACGTACTGTCAAATTCTCTAAAACGATGTTGGAGGCAGCTTATGGTAGAGAAATGAACATTCAATTATCTGGCAACAGCTCTGGTGGACATTCCTGCAGTCAACATACCAATTGCACGCTCCCTCAAAACTTAAGACATCTGTGGCATTGTGTTGTTTGACAACATTTTAGAATGGCCTTTTATTGTCCCCAGCACAAGGTGCCCCTGTGTAATGATCATGCTGTTTAATAATCTTCTTGATATGCCACACCTGTCAGGTGCATGGATTATCTTTGCAAAGGAGAAATGCTCACTAACCGGGATGTAAACAAATTTGTGCACAAAGTTTGAGAGAAGTAAGCTTATTGTGCATATGGAAAATGTCTGCAATCTTTTATTTCAGCTCATGAAACATGGGAACAACACTTTATATGTTGTGTTTATATTTTTTGTTCAGTCTACTTTGTATCCCTCATTTACTCAAGTGTTTCCATTATTTGGGCAGTTACCTGTACATAAAGTGCTTTCATTTCTAAACGGTAAAACAGATATGTATGAAAATACTCTGAAATAAAAGGTGACGTTCTGTACTGTCGCCTCATGTGTAGCAACTGAATATTTGCCCTTTAACATGTGGACTAATGTAGATGCATATAGTATGTTTACAAACACGTAAAAGTAGTCTACGTTTACAAACACACTAATTATTTGAAGTAGCCCAACTTTTTTTTTGTAGACTGTAATAACTTTTGAGCCTGGTTCCTCTCTAGGTTTCTTCCTATGTTCCTCCTTTTCTAGAGAGTTTTTCCTAGCCACCGTGCTTCTACATCTGCATTGCTTGCTGTTTGGGGTTTTAGGCTGAGTTTCTGTATAGCACTTTGTGACATCTGCTGATGTAAAAAGGGCTTTATAAATACATTTGATTGATTTATTTAAACAGGGGGATGAATTTGGAATTCATATAGGCTAGGCCCCTAGTCTCCAAGTTCATTCTAACATTTTAAAGGCAGACGTTACGGAATTAGAGTGGAACAAGGAATTAACTGCATTCTCTTTTGCTCAGGTAATCCTTTGATGGATACCAAGGATGTTATACACCTGTACCAAGAGATGCGGGGTAAGTACATTTAAATGCTTTAAAATTAATACAGTTGAATGTCTTGCACATATGTCACACAAATTATTATTCTTTCAATAGAGGCAAATTATGTCAAAGACTGGAAAGCTGCCATATACTTAACACACAGTCAGCTAGGCCTACAGTATCCGCCCGGAGAGCTTGCACCTGTGCACTGTGACCAGATGTCACTCCTCCTGGCTGAGGAGACCCTGTCAGTCAGCCAGACGATCAGCCCTTGGGAGTCCAATGTCCCCTCCTGCGAGCCCATGGGTGGGCCAGATGAGCAGGCTCAGTCTCTGAGCAGTCCCCCTGGAGGAACCCACCATGGAGATGACGTTGGAGATCAATCCAGCCCAACCCACCCTGGAGATCAACCCAGCTCAGCTGTGGAATTGGAGGAGGCCCAGGCCGGGCCGGGTTCTGCTGTGCAGTCAGCTATGTTCCAGAGATTTCCGTCAGGGGACAGTCTACTGGAGGCCAACCAGTCTCCGGTCCTGATCAGCACCTGCAGCGCCCCAACCAACAACACCATCATCATCCACTCTGAGAACCTTCCGGAGACCATTGTCTTCCACAGCGACAGCCGTCTATCCTCAGGTGTGTCTTCCAGGAGTAGTTTGACCTGGAGTCTTTTGGTTGGTGAGGGGAATAAGGTTTGGGTGAATGACCCAACAGAGGTGATGTCTGATGATGTGGTGGTGTTCCACAAAGTGCCCTCAATGGACAACCTGCCTCGCATGCCGTCTTCCAGAGAAGTCTTCTGTAATGTGGAGGAGACTAACAGGGAACCATCAATGGAGGAGCTACTGGTGTCTCCAACTGCTTCTGTTGGCAGAGTTTCAGCAGTAGTGTCTGCTGCAAGACATTCTGAAAGTGGTTTATCAGGAAGAGCTTTCTCTGAAACAGAACTAGTTGATGCAGCACACAGAGTGTCCTCAGTCAGGATACCCAGTAGAGAGGAGAGAGTGATGAGAACAGCAGATACACCAGAAAGACACACGCCCTCAGTATCTCCACAGGCATCTTATGTGTCAGGTAACAGAATACATTTACATTTTAGTCATTTAGCAGATGGTCTTATCCAGAGCAACTTACAGGAGCAATTAGGGTTAAGTGCCTTGCTCAAGGGCAGATCAACATATTTTTCACCTAGTCAGCTCGGGATTCGAACCAGCGACCTTTCGGTTACTGGCCCAATGCGCTTATAGGTTACCTGCTGCCCAGATTAAAATCTCTCTATATCACAGTTCTAAAAAGAACATAGTCACACGTGCATTACAGCTTTTCTATATCTCTGTATCTTCTGTTGATTTCAAAATAAATGTCTGTGTTTTATAGAGTGCCCAGTGATGTTTGAAAAAGAGGACTGGTGTGTAATCACCATTCCCTCTTCTCCAGTGAAGAAAGCAGTCAAATTCACCCCCTCCGAAGAGATCTCACCTATTACTTCACCCAGCATAGATATAGCCTGGGAGGAGCTTCTGCAGACATCAGAATCCATCATTGATAAAGTAGCCTTCAATACTTTGGAGATTGTAAACAAACAATTACAATGCTCAAGGAGGGAGATCTCTGAAATGGTCCCATCTGACCCTGTGGTTGTGTCTCAGTCTCTAAACGCTTTCTCTTATGACGATCTCTCTTACTCACCTTCAGCTGTGGAGGAATTCTCTACTGCCTCAGCAAGATGCTCAGAAGGTGATGTCACTGAAGAGTTCTCTACTGCCTCAGCAAGATGCTCAGAAGGTGATGGCACTGAAAGAGCTCGCTCTGAAACAGCAGTAGAGAGTGAAGCAATCTCTGTGAGGGAGATTTCACCAGCAGTGACTGCAAGGTGTTCTGCCAGTGACGTATCAGAAATAGTTCCCTCTGAAACAGCAGTTTTGGGAGCAGCAGTGCCATCAATGGAGGAGCTATCAGAGTCACTAACTGTATTTGCCTTTGTGGGTGGGATTTCCCCAGCAGTGTCGGCCAATGATGTATCAGAAAGAGCTCCCTCTGAAACATCAGTAGTGGGAGCAGAGGCTCCAGAGAGACACACATCTCTCAGTGTATCTCCACAGACTTCATTTGTGTCAGGTATGTGTCACTTCCTCTAAAGGTAACTTACAAGCCTAATATTCCATAATAAATAAAAAATAAAAAAATGTTGTTAGAGAAACAAAGTCAACTACTTTATTTAGTCTCTCTATCCATAGCTCATTCTGAGGAATCACTGAAGGCTACAGACTTGTCATCTCCATCCAACCTGGCCAGGATTCCCTCTGCATATCTCAGTGATGGTGTGTCACCAGCAGTGTCTGCAAGATGTTCTGCTAGTGACTTACTAGAAAGAGCTTCCTCTGAAACAACAGCGCCGAGAGTGATCCCCTCTGCACCATCAATGGATGAGCTATTGGTATTACCAACTGCTTCCGTTGTTGGGATTTCAACAGCAGTGTCTGCAAGATCTTCAAGAGTTAGTTTTGCAGAAAGAGCTCCCTCAGAAACAGCAGTGGAGGGGGTAAGATATTCTGAAAGTGGTTTATCAGGAAGAGCCTTCTCTAAAACAGAACTAGTTGATGCAACACACAGAGTGTCCTCAGTCAGGCTACCCTTTAGAGAGGTGAGTGTGATGAGAACAGCAGAGACACCAGAGAGACACTCATCTCCCAGAGTATCTCCACAGACATGTTCAGTGTCAGGTACAGTAGTCATCCAATCTCTGTGATATACTTCTAATGAGGTCCATGTTACTATTTCTGGTAAAATGTTTAAGAAAATGTCAGTGTAACATCACAACATACTCAAATATTTTATTTTTTCTGTCTTTCCTCAACACGTTTAATCTACTACAACAGCTACAGGCTTGTCATCTAAGTACAGCCTGTCCAGGGTCCCCTCTGTGTCTCTCAGTGATGGTGCAGCAGAGTCAGTTTCTATGGAAGTCATCTCTGATGTGGAGGATATTTATACAGCACCATCAATGGAGCATATTGTGTCTTCAACTGCTGCTGTTGTCGGCATTTCACCAGCGGTGTCTGCTAGATGTTCCTCAAATGACATGTCTGGAAGAACTTGTTTCGAAACAGCAGTAGTGGGAGCAGAGATACCAGAGAAACACACCTCTCCAAAAGTTTCTCCACAGACATCTTTAATGTCAGGTACAATGTATTATTAAATACATTTAGAAAGCTGCATTAATAAGGTCCATATCACCTTTTTGGTAAAAGTGGGAAGTTTAAAATATTGTTCTAATTTTTACTTTGTCTCCCCAACTCTAGCTCATGTTGGTCAATCTATGAGTGGTACAGACATTTCACCAAAATCTAGTCTGGATGGGTTTTCCTCTATTGGTGAAAGAGCAGCAGAATCAGCTTCTAGCGAAGTGATGTATATGGAGGAGAAGTATAAAGCATCAATGGCAGAACTACCAGGGTCTCCAGCTGCTGTTGGAGGCACTTCACAAGCAGTGTCTGCTAGATGTTCACAAAGTGACATAGCAGAAAGAGTCCCCTCTGAAACAATAGTAGGGAGACACACATCTTCCAGAGTTTCTCCACAAACATCCGTGATCTCAGGTAAGTTTTCAGCTATCTTGAATGAAATATAAGGTTGTTATGTCAGTATTATGGCCGAAATGAATTGTGAAATACCACAGAATACTCAAATAATTCAATCTGGTCTGTCTTTTCACAACTCATGTTGATGTTACTCCAACAGCTACAGGCTTGTCATCTAAGTTCAGTCTGGCCAGGGCTCCCTCTGTGTCTCTCAGTGATGCTGCAACAGAACCAGCTCAGATAGACAACAAAACACTGTCAATGGATGAGCTTATGACGTCTCCATTGTATTCTCATTGTTCTCCAGCCGGTTCTGAAAGTGACTTATTAGGCTTATTAAAAAGAGCTCCCTCTGAAACAGCAGTGGATGGAGCACACAGAGTGTCCTTGGTAAGGATACCCAGTAGAGTGGAGAGTGTGATGAGAACAGCAGAGACACCAGAGAGACACACATTTCCCAGAGTTTCTCCACAGACTTCTTTTACAGGTGTTGTTTCTGATATGACAGTTTTCTACAGAGATTCATCTATGGGAGAATTACCTCTTTCTCCATCTGTTGGTGAGGAACTTGTGGAGGAGGCTTACGAAGTACCATCAATGGAGAAGAAGGAGATTTCATTTGCTTCGGTTGGTAGACTTTCACCAATAGTGTCTGCAAGACATACTGGAAGTGGTTTAACAGGAAGAGCTTTCTCTGAAACAGAATTAGTGAGACCAGAGACACCAGAGAGACACACATCTCCCAGACTTTCTCCTAGAGTTTCTCCACAGTCCAGTCTGGCCAGGATTTCCTCTGCACCATCAATGGAGGAGCCACGGATGTCTCCAACTGCTTCTGTTGGTAGACTTTTACCAGTAATGTCTTCTGTAAGATATTCTGGAAGTGGTTTATCAGGAAGAGTTTTCTCTGAAACAGAACTAGTTGATGCAGCACACAGTGTGTCCTTAGTCAGGATACCCAGTAAAGAGGAGAGTGTGAGGAGAAGAGCAGAGACACCAGAGAGACACACATCTCCCAGAGTGTCTCCTAGAGCATCACAAAGAGTTTCTCCACAAATCTCTCTTGTATCAGGTACAATTGTCATCCATACTCTGAAGAATGCTCTACTAATACGATTTTTTGGGGGTAAAAATTGGCAAAACCTGTAAGGTGAAATGTAAACTATATGTGCTTAATTTTGTATCTCCATCCACAGCTCATGTTGGTGAATCTCTGTCTGGTACAGCCATTTCTCCACATTTCAGTCTGCCTAGGATTCCCTCTGCACCATCAATGGACAGACCCACATCTCCCAGAGTTTCTCAAAGAGTTTCTCTACAATCCAGTCTGGCCAGGATTCCTTCGGCACAATCAGTGGAGGAGCTACTGGTGTCTCCATCTACTTCTGTTGGAAGAATGTCACCAGCAGTTTCCAGAAGATCTTCAAAAAGTAGTTTATCAGAAAGAGCTCCTTCTGAAACCATCATAAGATATTCTGAAAGTGGTTTATCAGGAACAGAACTAGTTGATGCAGCACAGAGAGTGTCCTCAGTCAGGAAACCCAGTAGAGAGGAGAGTGTGGGGAGAAAAGCAGAGACACCAGAGAGACACACATCTCCCAGAGTTTCTCCTAGAATGTCTCCCAGAACTTCTCCCAGAGTTTCTCCACAATCCAGTCTGGCCAGGATTTCATCTGCACCATCAATGGAGGAGCAGCTGGTGTCTTCAACTGCTTCTGTTTGCAGGATTTCACCTGCAGCAGCAATGGAAGCAGCACACCAAGAAGAGAGTGTAGGGAGAACAGCAGAGGCACCAGAGAGTCACACAACTCCCAGAGTTTCTTTCAGAATATCTCCACAGACATCTAAGACAAGCGTCCTTTCTGATGTGGCAGTTTTGTACAGACCATCCATGACTGCAGGACTTTGTCTTGAGGTTTTAGACATTGAGTCTGACCAGGTGAATACGTCAATGAGTGACATCAGAGCACAATTTCCCTCTGACACTGCTGCAATGGAGACAGTACACAGAGAGTCCTCAGGGAGGATACCCAGAAGAGAGGAGAGTGTGAGGAGAACAGCAGAAACGTAAACATCTTATGCATCAGGTTAATATCAAGATTAATTCATAACTGAAATATTATTAACAGAAACTCTTTTCTAAATATTTATCTTCCTAATCGCATAGGAGTATTGGACAACAGCACACAGGTTTCACAAACGTCAATCCGCCTTTGTGAAGAGGTGACTGCCTACCCTACAGAAGTGCAGCAGGGGACCCTGAGACTTGGAGTTTATCTAGGAGTTTTTCCAGCCAATGTTGTTGGGCCTCAAAACAATAGAACTCAAAACACACGTTCACAGGGTGTGCAGACTATTCTAGGTAATCTTTAATAATTGTTCAATCATATTTTGAAATATGTGTGTATTGAAGATATTTGTGGATTTTTTCCCCTCCAATATATTTGTGGAAATTATGATGTTCACTTTTGATGTTGCATTCTATTGTCATATTAGATTATCATGGCCCGCCCTCACAGAGCGTTCCTATTGGAGCAGGACACATCACTCATGATGCTCAGCCCGCCCGCGAGAATTACACCAATCAGGTCTGGACACTCTACCACTTGGCCAATGAGACAGAAGAGGGCACACTGTCCACTAAAGTTATCTCTCAGCCTCCATACAATAGCAGTGCTTACATTTGCAACTTTGGGCCTGGCCATGTGTTACTGGCAGAGAGGTCCCCTTCCCCTCAGCAATCTGAAGCCCAGTCCTGGAGTGGCCAACCCAGACAACAGCCCCAGCTCCAGCCCCAGCCACCACCCTTCCCAATGAGCCCAAGAAGGGCCTTCACACACATGGCACAGCCCTCAACCCTCTCCACTCCTTCTCTACCCCAGATCAGCATCCCCAACTTCTTCATGCATCCCCAACTTCTTCCTGTGTCTCTGGACAAGAGCGTTCGTAGCGTTCCAACCGCGATGCAGACCAGGTGGAGGTCTGCTGCAGTCAGGTCGGATGACCCCCCGGGGTACCTGTCATTCTCCGTTCCCATGGAGACGGTGAGCGGAGGTTCTGGTCAGGACCAGTTCCTTCAGGTCATCAGTGATGAGGGGAACACTGTTTACTCCCCCGCTCTCATACGTATCGTCACCTTAGAACCCACAGAGGAAGAGGACCAGGAAGGAGCCAGGAGGTGGCCAACTAGTGCCCCATTTAATTGGTAGGGGACTGTTGTCTAGTGCAGGGTTTCCCAAACTCGGTCCTGGGGCCCCTAGGTGCACATTTTGGTTTTTGCCCTAGCACTACACAGCTGATTCAAATAACCAACTCATCATCAAGCTTTGACTCTTTGAATCAGCTGTGCAGTGGGGGGAGGGCCCAGGACCGAGTTTGGGAATCCCTGGTCTAGTGAGTATCAATAAAATACATTTGCATATCATTAAAAATGTTTTCCTTCATGTATTAAATACAAAAAAAACATGTTTTAAGTGAGCAGTTAGGCTGGTCTGAAGCTGAGAAAATAAGGAAATTCAAATCAAATCAAATTTGATTTGTCACATGCTTCTAAACAACAGGTGTAGACTAACAGTGAAATGCGTACTTACGGGCCCTTACAAACAATGCAGAGAGAAAAATTGAAAAATTATAGAAAGATAACGCAAGGAATAAATACACAATGAGAAACGATAACTTGGCTATATACACGAGGTACCAGTAGTACCGAGTCGACGTGCAGGAGTACGAGGTAATTGAGGAACATATGGCATTCGGAAAGTATTCAGACCCCTAGACCTTTTCCACATTTTGTTACGTTACAGCGTTACAGGTGGACTCCAATCAAGTTGTAGAAACATTTCAAGGATGATCAATGGAAACAGGATGCACCTGAGCTCAATTTCAAGTCTCATAGCAAAGGGTCTGAATATTTATGTAAATACGGTATTTATTTATTTTTTAATTAGCAAAAATGTCTAAAAACCTGTTTTTGCTTTGTCATTATGAGTTATTGTGTGTAGATTGATGAGATTTTAAATTTTTTAAAATCCATTTTAGAATAAGGCTGTAACGTAATAAAATGTGGAAAAAGTCAAGGGGTCTGACTACTTTCCAAATGTACTGTACATATAAGTAGGGCTAAAGTGACAGGATAGACAATAAGCAGTAGCAGCAGTGTATTTGATGAGTCAAAAGAATACTGGGCCATACGCACGACCCTCTGTTGCGCCTTGTGGTCGGATGTCAAGCAGTTGCCATACCAAGCCGTGATGCAGCCAGTCAAGATGCTCTCAATGGTACAGCTGTAGAACTTTTTGATTTTCTGAGGGCCCATGCCAAAAAAATGTCAGGCTCCTGAGAGCAAATACGTGTTGTCGTGCCTTCTTCACGACTATGTTGGTGTGTGTGGACCATGTTAATTCCTTAGTGATGTGGACACAGAGGAACTCTAAGCTCTCGACCCGCTCCACTACAGACCCGTCGATGTGGATGGGGGTGTGCTCAGCCCTCCGTTTCCTGTAGTCCAGGATCATCTCCTTTGTCTTGCTGACGTTGAGGGAGAGGTTGTTGTCACTGACCTCCTCCCTATAGTCTCATCGTCATTGGTGATCAGACCTACCACCACGTCGTCAGCAAACTTAATGATGGTGTTGGAGTCGTGCGCGGCCACTGAGTTGTGGGTGAACAGGAAGTACAGGAGGGGACTAAGCAAGCACCCCTGAAGGGCCCATGTGTTGAGGGTCAGCGTGGCAGATGGGTTGTTGCCCACCCTCACCACCTGGGGGCGGCCTGTCAGGAAGTCCAGGATCCAGTTGCAGAGGGAGGTGGTCAGTCCCAGGGTCCTGAGCTGTATGCGAATTGGAGTGGGTCCAGGGTGTCTGTGATGATGATGTTGATGTGAGCCATGACCAGCCTTTCAAAGCATTTAATTGTTACAGATGTGAGTGCTATGGGGCGGTAGTCATTTAGACAGGTTATCTTGGTGTTCTTGGGCAAAGGGACTATGGTGGTCTGCTTGAAAAATGTAGGTATTACAGACATGGTCTGGGAGAGGTTGAAAATGTAAATGAAGACACATGCCAGCTGGTCAGCGCATTCTCTGAGTATGCGTCTTGGTAATGCATCTGGCCCTGCGGCTTTGTGAATTTTAACCTTTTTAAATGTCTTACATCGGCTGCTCATCCATGGTTCAGTGTTGCTTGTCTCGAAGCGAACAAAGGCATTTATCTTGTCTGGTAGGCTCGCGTCACTGGGCAGCTCGCGGCTTGGTTTCCCTTTGTTATCCATGATAGTTTACAAGCCCTGCCACATCCGACAAGCGTCAGAGATGGCTTAGTAGGATTCGATCTTAGTCCTGTATTGACGCTTTGCCTGTTTGATGGTTCGTCGGAGGTCGTAGTGAGATTTCTTATAAGAGTCAGGATTAGTGTCCCGCTCCTTGAAAGCAGCAGCTCTAGCCTTTAGCTCAGTGCTGATGTTGCCTGTAATCCATGGCTTCTGGTTGGTGTACGTACGTCCGGTCACTGTGGTGACGACATCGTCGATGCACTTATTAATGAAGCCAGTGACTGATGTGGAAAACTCCGCAATGCCCTCGGATGAATCCCAGAACATATTCCAATCTGTGCTAGCAAAACAGTCCTGTAGTTTAGCGTCCGCTTCATCGGACCACTTCCGTATTGAGCGCGTCACTGGTACTTCCTGTTTGAGTTATCAGGAGGTATTCTTATTCAGGCTTCCTTAACATTAGAGAACGCGCACCATCTGCTGTTAACAAAGAGACACACCTTAGCCCTAGCCTTACCCACATGAGGACCACTAGGCCTAACTTCACCCATGTTAGTATTATGCGGGGAATTCAGTCCACAACTTACATAATGCTACAAACACCCTAAGGTAACATTAAGCTTTTATTTAGCAACAATAGAAATTCTTTATCCTGTAATGTGCTATACACAAAGTGAAAGTAGCCTCTAGATAAAACCGTCCATTCAGAGGAGGCGATAGGCCCAGTCTACTGTCCTGTCATGTATTACATGATAATCCTACCTAGCACTTTACAGAGGTTACAGCAGCAGCTATTCACAACCAAGGAGATGAATATTATGCAGTGCATGAGTGTGTTGAACAGTGGCTGTCTCCCATAATGGCACCCTATTCCCCCATAGGGCTATGTAGGAAATAGGGTGCCATTTGGGACACAGCCTTACTGTGTGTCTGTGGGTGTATTGCAGCTAATGCTTGCATAGTCAAAGTAGTGCATGTACTGTATGTGCATTCAGTGTGTGAGGGGTAGTCCAAACAGTTCTATGTACTTCTCAGAATATCCTGAATTACATTTTTACTATAGAGGAAACTTTTGCACACAGATAAGTGCCATTGAAGAAAGCCATAATTCTAAGTACAGTACAGCTATTCTCCTCTATACATAGCATAGCATCTTAAATTCATAAAGAACTACATTGTATTACAGCTCAGAAGAATAGAAGGAATCGAGCTCTATCCAATAATATGTACAAACATGTATAATTTCCCCAGTCATAGTTAAAGAGGTCCAAGCAGCTAAAATGTGTCATAATGACAGCTTAGTTTGGTAGCCTATAGTAAAGACTGCAGGAAGTTGGAACACGCCTATCTCACACATCATGACAGCTTAGTTTGGTAGCCTATAGTAGAGACTGCAGGAAGTTGAAACACGCCTATCTCACACATCATGACAGCTTAGTTTGGTAGCCTATAGTAGAGACTGCAGGAAGTTGGAACACGCCTATCTCACACATCATGACAGCTTAGTTTGGTAGCCTATAGTAGAGACTGCAGGAAGTTGGAACACGCCTATCTCACACATCATGACAGCTTAGTTTGGTAGCCTATAGTAGAGACTGCAGGAAGTTGGAACACGCCTATCTCACACATCATGACAGCTTAGTTTGGTAGCCTATAGTAGAGACTGCAGGAAGTTGGAACACGCCTATTTCACACACTATTTGAAAGCTGTATTTTTCCTAAAATGTATACTGTATCAGAACGATAATGTAGCTGCACACATTTGTAAGTAACAGCACTGAGCACACTGCATTCAATTCACGCAATTCAAAACACTCCCATTTGTTAAAATGAAAGGCAGGTTACACCCTATAGTTTTATTATAATTCTATACACTGGTCAATGACCATAGCTTACAAGCTCATGAGGACTTCACCATTGTGCCTTGAGTGAGACATAGGCTGTGATAAGAGATCATCATATTTGGGGACTACTGAATGGTTCCCAATAATAGCCTTACCATCTATAGGACCAGAGCAGGTTACGGACTTGAGAAGGACATAACTCTCACTTTACCTCGCCTATGTGGACTCCTTTTTGCTGACCACATGACCTGACCAGGACTAACTTTCTCCCCCTTCAATGAGTCTTACGAGAAAACTTCAGAGTTCCACCGTCAGAAGTTCCAGCCTGAATATGAAAAACAGCAGAGATAGTAGAGATGAGATGTATACAGATAGAGATGTCTGTGTGTGTGTCTTGCAGGTCAGTATATATCAGGCAGCAGGGAGTAGTTCCGGTCCCAGTAGCCGTTGGAGTAGAGCCAGTCCTGAGCTTTGATGTGGGGGTTGGGGCCTTGGTGGAACCACCTATATGGGAGTAACGAGAGGAACCGAGTCAGATAAAATAACATAGAAATGAGTGTTCAGGCACAGATATATCCAGGCACAGACATGAGTGTTTGACATGATTGTGATAAATACAAACCCACACAAACATAATACAGTACAGTCGACGCCCGATAATGGGGTTTAACAAACCAAGCTTCCATTGAAAATGTTATTTTTCTCTATATAGCTTGGGTCTTTCATGAATTCATGCAAACTGTAGCATGCAAATATCCAGGAAAGGTGAATTTCACTGCAATTACCACATTTTTATTTTAGCTTATTCAACGTGTACTTATCAGGAGTCAACTGTACACAGGTTGTAGAGGTGTATGATCAGTGTTTGAATCAATGCATTTACTGCAGTTCTAAAGTTGTCCTGAGGGAGGTGGTAAAGCACAGCACTCAAACAGTGAACCACAACAACATCCACAAGCCACAACAGACAAGCAGAGCCAAACCTGGGGCCAAGAGCTGGGTTCCTTCTCAATGACAACACAGGGGAAGAGCATAACACATAGCACAGGATGACACAAATGGGTGACAATTAGCAAAGTAGGTCTAGCATTAGCGCTAGCATACATCCAATGAGAGTAGTGCTGAGCGATTAACCGAAATGTTGGTTATTTTGATTTTGATGAATTAACCGACATCTGTTCAATTATTTGAATTACATTTTGTTCCTTTTTTTTCTGTGAGCTCAATGCACACATTGCGCAGTTTCTCTAGAGATAAATCAGATCAAGGCCCGAACTGTGCGATGTAGTAGGGAGTTGCAGTTTCAAACAGGCCAACATTCTACATAGTTTGGTAATTAACTACAATGACCATAATCCATTGTGCGCCTACTTGTCTGGTCTGTGTGTTTCTTTTCCGCCAGCTATGTAAGATTAGTGTGGGGCAGACACGGAGAGAGAAGAGACAGAAGAACGCAAGACCGAGAGGGATAGCGAGCAGTTGCTTAGCGAGGTATCTCTATGTAAAAATACTGCACATGATCTAAGTGATTGATAGTTGGTATTCAGCAGTCATAAAAGTATGCCTTATTTACTTTGAAGAACTACTAAAATAGTGATTTTGTCAGATAGCATAGGTAGCTTGCTCTATAGAGATGAGATGATGACTTGGAATGAAATAATAAAGTCATCAAATAAAACAATATGTACAGTACCAGTCAAAAGTTTGGACACACCTACTCATTCAAGGGTTTTTCTTTATTTTTACTATTTTCTACATTGTAGAATAATAGTGAAGACATCAAAACTATTAAATAACACATATGGAATCATTTAGTAACCAAAAAGGTGTTAAACAAATCAAAATATATATTTTAGATTCTTCAAAGTAGCCACCCTTTGCCTTGATGACAGCTTTGCACACTCTTGGCATTCTCTCAACAAGCTTCATGAGGTAGTCACCTGGAATGCATTTCAATTAACAGGTGTGCCTTGTTAAAAGTTAATTTGTGGAATTACTTTCCTTCTTAATGCGTTTGAGCCTATCAGTTGTGTTGTGACAAGATAGGGGTGGTATACAGAAGATAGCCCTATTTGGTAAAAGACCAAGTCCATATTATGGCAAGAACAGCTCAAATAAGCAAAGAGAAGTGACAGTCCATCATTACTTTAAGACATGAAGGTCAGTCAATACGGAATATTTCAAGAACTTTGAAAGTTTCTTCAAGTGCAGTCGCAAAAACCATCAAGCGCTATGATGAAACTGGCTCTCACGAGGACCGCCACAGGAAGACCCAGAGTTACCTCTGCTGCAGAGGATAAGTTCATTAGAGTTAACTGCACCTCAGATTGCAGCCCAAATAAATGCTTCACAGAGTTCACGTAACTGACATCTCAACTGTTCAGAGGAGACTGCGTGAATCAGGCCTTCATGGTCGAATTACTGCAAAGAAACCACTACTAAAGGACACCAATAATAAGAAGAGACCTGCTTGGGCCAAGAAATTGGCCAATTTGTTTTTCAACAGGACAATGACCCAAAACACACCTCCAGGCTGTGTAAGGGCTATTTGACCAAGGAGAGTGATGGAGTGCTGCATCAGATGACCTGGCCTCCACAATCACCCGACCTCAACCCAATTGAGATGGTTTGGGATGAGTTAGACCGCAGAGTGAAGGAAAAGCAGCCAACAAGTGCTCAGCTTATGTGGGAACTCCTTCAAGACTGTTGGAAAAGCATTACTCATGAAGCTGGTTGAGAGAATGCCAAGCGTGTGCAAAGCTGTCATCAAGGCAAAGGGTGGCTACTTTGAAGAATCTCAAATATAAAATATAGTTGTTTAACACTTTTTTGGTTACTAAATGATTCCATATGTGTTATTTCATAGTTGTGATGTCTTCACTATTATTCTAAAATGAAGAAAAACCCTGAAATGAATAGGTGTGTCCAAACTTTTGACTGGTACTGTATGTAATGTAATATACACATCAACTGACATATTTTATCAAAGTAATGTGAATAAATGATGGCTAATAAGTGATAATCAGTAATGAGCAGTCACTACCATCATGGGACTTTTTAATTGTTTTATTCTGTGTTACAGCATTCAACCCACATAATGCATAGTGCATTTAATGTAAAGAAATAATCACATTAAACCAAAATTGTAAACCGTGATCATTTTTTAAATAATCGAACGGAAACCAAACCGACCTCAAAAAGCACTAATTGTTCCACACTAAATGAGAGTGTTGCACAGCAGAATCAGAGGGAGTTCCAGGAGGAAGAGAGAAGACCCAATCACTCACCTCGTTTTCCATTCCTCTGTTGATTTGGAGCGATTTTTCCGGGCCAGTCTTTGTTTCTCCTCTACCCTCTTCTTCTCTGCACTTGACAAATCTGAGAAACACAGAAATATTTTAATGTATCAAAATATTTAGATTCTATGACAAACTGCTCGTTGAATTGCTGGACACCAGATGTGGATCATTCAAAACAACACAATGCTCTATATAACTTTATCACCATACCTATGTCTCCTTTCTCCATGGCTCTGATGTCAGGTCTGAATCGACAGTCTGTGGGGGGCATCACCCCCTTCATGCCCTCCTCCAGCTCATTCAGCTGCATGGCAAATGTGGAGAAGGCGTAGAACTACCAAAGAGAGAGAGCGAGAGGGGGAAGGGTCTACAAATCAATGACTGACAACCTGTTCAATCACTCAAGAAGGCTAAACATATCAACAGTAATTCCTCCAAAACAGTACTCTCTCATCCCTGTGATCCCTGCAGTTGTCTGGTCAGGGGGCTATCCTCCAGACCTGCTTTCATCCCCTCCCGCCATCCCTGCCTCCCCTCCCCTCGCCTCTCCCCCAACCCCCTGCATCTCCTCTCCCCCAACTCCCTGCATCTCCTCTCCCCCAACTCCCTGCATCTCCTCTCCCCCAACTCCCTGCATCTCCTCTCCCCCAACTCCCTGCATCTCCTCTCCCCCAACTCCCTGCATCTCCTCTCCCCCAACTCCCTGCATCTCCTCTCCCCCAACCCTCTGCCTCTCCTCCCCTCTCACCTCTGCAGAGTTGTCTGGTCGGGGGGCTATCCTCCAGATGAGCTCACTACCTGGGATGACCTGGACCGTGTCTCCATCAGGCAGGGGCATCTCCTCTGGCTCTTCGTCTACACTGGTCTGGAGGGACAGACAGGGGGACACGCAACCTTCAAACAGGTATGCAACTACAATAGCTACTTATTGGGTCATATCAAGGGTCATCACTCCAAAACGAGTGTAAAGGTTGCTTAAATACCACTCATTCATGAGCATGGAGCAAAAGGATATATTTTGTGTGACATTTTCATGGTGCGAAAGTGTTAAGTGCAAAATTGACCATGAACCTAATTGTAATCGCAGCGTGATTTAATTTATGTTTCTTCTACAATATGTGTTATAAAGAGTCAACTATTGTTATGTATTGCTCAGTTTACTAAACTCTAGTCAAATAATCACCTTTACTCAGCAAAGGATATGATAGTTACATAACCACCCCGGTGGGGCTGAAGGCACTACGGTATGTTTTTGATTAGTGCACATACAGTACCTGCTTGTTGCTTTTCTTCTCCTCTGAGTTCTTCTTGTCAGATTTCTTGTGAGCATCAAAGGTTTTGGCGTCCACAGTGTACAAGCACTCAGTCCATTTACCGTATATGGCACAGAGCTTCCTTTTGCTGCATGCACACAGACACACACAGTCAAAATGAGCGGTTAGGCTTTTCTGATAGCTAATATATAAATCATCTTGATATAGTAAAACAGTGGGGGTAAAAAACTGTAACAAACAAGTACCTTTTATCCAGAATATAGCCCTCCACTTGGTGCAGCTCCTTACCAAACATACCACATGGTTTGAACGTCAGGCTGCATCTCTCTCCGGTCCTGTCACCGAAAGACAAGCATTCTAGTTACATATTCTCTTTCACTATTCACCACAGCCAGACAATGCTTTCAAACAACCACCATTTTGCTGCTCAGTCTGTCTCCTTTGTAAAGGCAAGTATCTATCCCAGTTCTGTTACACTGCTCAATCAACTGGAAACAAACGTGGATCCACACTACTGCACACACACACAGATACACGTGCACGCACACACGGCGAGGGAGTCTCTCTTACTTGTGGTTGATCACTTCCACATTGCCATACTGCTCGATCCACAGCTGGCCCACGATGATGTTGTGGACACAGCAGGTGGGGTTTGTCCAGGTGTATGCTTCATTGTATCTGCAGAGAGACAGTGAACATGTCATAGCAGCAGATAACCTCTCACCAACCACGTCAACTTACAGATGCCAACTCATTCCAAACTACTTCAGGGAGATTCAAATGTCCTTCAAACTTCAACATTATTTAATTAATTAATTTCATCCAAGCTTAAGAAAAAAGCTACCAGAATAGCTCTATTGCCAGAATAGCTCTATTGCCAGAATATATGTATTGCTAGCTTTACTGGGAGATAAAGACCAAATCAAGGAAACTCCAAGGCAAACTCTCAGTGAGGGAAAGCTACACTGAACAACAATATAAACGCAACATGCAACAATTTCAAAGATTTTACTGAGTTACAGTTCATATAAGGAAATCAGTCAATTGAAATAAATTAATTAGGCCCTAATCTATGGATTTCACATGAATGTTGGTCACAGATACCTTAAAAAAAAAAAGTCAGGGTATGGATCAGAAAACCAGTATCTTGTGTGATCACCATTTGCCTCATGCAGCGCTACACATCTCCTTTACATAGAGTTGATCAGGCTGTTGATTGTGGCCCCTGAATGTTGTCTCACTCCTCTTCAATGGCTGTGCGAAGTTGCCGGATATTATCGGGAACTAGAACATGCTGTCGTACACGTCAATCCAGAGCATCCCAAACATGCTCAATGAGTGACATGAGTATGCAGGCCATGGAAGAACTGTGACATTTTCAGCTTCAGGGAATTGTGTACAGATCCTTTCGACATGGAGCCGTGCATTATCATGTTGAAACATGAGGTGATGGTGGCAGATGAATGGCACAACAATGGGCCTCAGGATCTCGTCACGGTATCTCAGTGCATTCAAATTGCCATTGATAAAATGCAATTGTGTTGAAACCGCGATTCATCCGTAAAGAGCACACTTCTTCAGCGTGCCAGTGGCCATCGAAGGTGAGCATTTGTCCACTGAAGTTGGTTACAACGCTGAACTGCAGTCAGGTCAACACCCTGGTGAGGACGATGAGCACATAGATGAGCTTCCCTGAGATGGTTTCTGACAGTTTGTGCAGAAATTCTTCGGTTGTGCAAACCCACAGTTTCATCAGCTGTCCGGGTGGTTGGTCTCAGATGATCTCGCAGGTGAAGAAGCCAGATGTGGCGGTCCTGGGCTGGTGTGGTTACACATGGTCTGCGGTTGTGAGGCCGGTTGGACGTACTGCCAAATTCTCTAAAGCGACGTTGGAGGCGGCTTATGGGAGAGAAATGAACATTCAATTATCTGGTAACAGCTCTGGTGGACATTCCTGCAGTTAGCATGCCAATTTCACACTCGCTCAAAACTTGAGACATCTGTGGCATTGTGCTGTGTGACAAAACTGCACATTTTAGAGTGGCTTTTTATTGTCCCCAGCACAAGGTGCACATGTGTAATAATCATGCCGTTTAATGAGCTTCTTGATATGCCACACCTGTTAGGTGGATGCATTATCTTGGCAAAGGAAAAATGCTCACTAAGAGGGATGTAAACAAATTTGTGCACAACATTTTAGAGAAATAAGCTTTTTGTGTGTATGGAACATTTCTGGGATATTTTATTTCAGCTCATGAAACATGGGACCAACACTTTACATGTTGCATTTATATTTTTGTTCAGTGTACATGTACAGTATGGAGGGAATCTCAGGTCCAGACTCACTTAGGCAGTTCCAGGGTGATGATGCCTTTAGGCTCTGCCTCCACGCTCTTGCCCCAGAACTTGAGTTTAGGGTAGATGGAGCCATGGAACAGGAAGTCCTCCTGCAGGCCCTCGGCGTGGAAGGCGCTTACAGGGGGGTGGTGGCTCACCTGCTCCGACATCCACCTGAACCCCAGGTCCTCTCTGAGGGGACAGGAGGGGGGGGGGGTTAATGGAAGATACTTAGCCATCACCTTCCGTCTTCAGATGTCTTGAGACATCTGACCTCTTAAGGATTTAATTGTATTTTGGAGACGTCTTGAGTCACAAACTAGTAGTAACCACCACCTCACAACACATCCAGAACAGTCAACCTAAACATCAACCACAGTAATATGTCTAACCTGATCAGCTCATAGGTTTCTCCTAGAAGTGGATTGAAGGGTTTTCCAGTCCTCTCCCACTGTGATGCTACAGCAGACACAGCAAATGCTGCCACACACTGAAACCATCATAGATGGACAGAAATGTGTAACATTAGTAGCTGTAGATGAGCACAGCAAAAAGAGTAGGTACTACGGCAGAAATTATGAGCGAAAACACATGTGTGTATCTATATGAGAGAGGATGATGACGGGCGCTAGCTACCTTCATCCTCTCCATGGAGTCTGTGGTAGCGTTAGCCTGGTGGATGAGATACGTGTGCTCCATGTACTCTGTCAACCGCTGAAGAAAACTCAGGGGCTCGTTGAAGATCACTGGCATGGCTATCTTAGACAGCTCCTGGGAGAGGAGAGAAGAGAGGAGGAGAAGAGTCAGAGAGAGAGAGAGGTAAGGAAACACACAAGCAATGAAGTTCATCCACAGCCCACACAGACCTACACTACCAGTCAAAGGTTTGGACACACCTACTCATTCAAGGGTTTTTCATTATTTTTACTATTTCCTACATTGTAGAATAATAGTGAAGACATCAAAACTATTAAATAACACATATGGAATCATGTAGTAACCAAAAAGGTGTTAAACAAATATAAATATATTTTATATTTGAGATTCTTCAAATAGCCACCCCTTGCCTTGATGACAGCTTTGCACACTCTTGGCATTCTCTCAACCAGCTTCATGAGGTAGTCACCTGGAATGCATTTCAATTAACAGGTGTGCCTTCTTAAAAGTTAATTTGTGGAATTTCTTTCCTTAATGCGTTTGAGCCAATCATTTGTGTTGTGACAAGGGGGGGGGGGGGGGTATAAAAAAAATAGCCCTATATGGACCAAGTCCATCTTATGGCAAGAACAGCTCAAATAAGCAAAGAGAAACGACAGTCCATCATTACTTTAAGACATGAAGGTCAGTCAATACGGAAAATGTCAAGAACTCAAGACAAGTGCAGTCGCAAAAACGATCAAGCGCTATGATGAAACTTGCTCTCATGAGGATCACAGGAATGGAGGACCGAGTTACCTCTGCTGCAGAGGATAAGTTCATTAGAGTTACCAGCCTCAGAAATTGCAGCCCAAATAAATGCTTCACAGAGGTCAAGTATAGACACATCTCAACATCAACTGTTCAGAGGGGACTGTGTGAATCAGGCCTTCATGGTCGAACTGCTGCAAAGAAACCACTACTAAAGGACACCTATAATAAGAAGATACTTGCTTGGGCCAAGAAACACGAGCAATGGACATTAGACCAGTGGAAATTTGTCCTTTTGTCTGGAGTCCAAATTGGAGATTCTTGGTTCCAACCGCCGTGTCTTTGTGAGATGCGGTGTGGGTGAACGGATGATCTCCACATGTGTAGTTCCCACCGTAAAGCATGGAGGAGGTGGTGTTATGGTGTGGGGGTGCTTTGCTGGTGACACTGTCTGTGATTTATTTAGAATACAAGGCACACTTAACCAGCATGGCTACCACAGCATTCTGCAGCGATACGCCATCCCTTAGTGTACACCTCCAGGCTGTGTAAGGGCTATTTTACCAAGAAGGAGAGTGATGGAGTGCTACCTCAGATGACCTGACCTCCACAATCCCCTGACCTCAACCCAATTGAGATGGTTTGGGATGAGTCAGACCGCAGAGTGAAGGAAAAGCAGCCAACAATTGCTTAGCATATGTGGGAACTCCTTCAAGACTGTTGGAAAAGCATTCCAAGTGAAGCTGGTTGAGAGAATGCCAAGAGTGTGCAAAGCTGTCATCAAGGCAAAGGGTGGCTATTTGAAGAATCTCAAATATTAAATATATTTCTATTTGTTTAACACTTATTTGGTTACTACAAGATTCCATGTGTGTTATTTCATAGTTTTGATGTCTTCACTATTATTCTACAATGTAGAAAATAGTAAAAATAAAGAACAACCCTTGAATGAGTAGGTGTGTCCAAACTTTTGAGTGGTACTGTACCTGTATATACAGTATTTCAGACAATGACAGGACATTGGCAATAGAGTGAAAGTCCCTATAAAGCTCACATAATTGTGTTTCGATGACAGAGGTGTGAAATAATATCAGCAATAAGCTCTAGTCTAGATCCCAGTCCGGAACACTGTTTGACAGCAGTACCGACTGGTCTCTGCAGTGTCATTAAAAAGGCCCACATTTCAGTAGGAACCCTGGGTTAAAACATGGATCTAACTAAATTAGGCCCACATAGAGTACACACACATAGTTATGGTAGTTTCTCCATTGCCATCGATGACGTCTGCCCCTACACCAGGGCTGTGTCCCAAATGGTACCCTATTTCCTATGTAATGCACTACTTTTTACCAGGGCCCATAGGGCTCTGGTCAAGGGGCCCTAGTCAAAGTATTGCACTGACGTCGTTCCACCAATTTGGTGCCTTGAGAAGTATAACTTGGTCAACAACAAAAAAACTAACATTCATAAAGAGCAAATGTTCAACTTCATAAAAAAACATTTATTCCCTTCTCAAGAGGTTAAATAAAAAAAAAGACTATAGTAAGTGCCTATTAAGTGCCAAATAAAGTAACAGGGTTGACGATTTCATCTTAAAATCAGACATAAATCCCCTTGTGACATGGGGAATGGAAGCTTGTTGTGTGCATCAGGGATTGAATGAAGGCTTCCAAAAACAAAAAAATTATTGTTAAAGCATTTCAGGGTGGACGTGTTATGCTCGACCCGCTCAGTTATCCACCACAAAACACCAAAGATGGCCAAAGAGTAGAACCAGTTCACCTGCTTTTACACTATGATTTGACTATTAGATGTTCAATGTTTCCATAGAAAAAAAGATTAAAAGGAAAAGTTCAGTTCACGTAACAGGGTTGACCTTAAAAAGAGGGACAGACGTAAATGATTCACTAATCACATTAAATAAATAATAATCTTCAGAAATGACTGACAAATCAACAAAATAACTATGGCTTTACAATCATGGTGAAAACTGAATTTTGGCACATCTTTATTCATATTTCAAATCTGATTTATTGAATTCTCCATTTGGCACTTCATTTAATATAACCGGCTTTTAAAATTCAATATTGGTGCACAATTTCTACTTAAAATATCAACAGGATGCAAAATAAACTATTTTCGTTGAACAACCCCACTACATAGGGAATAGGGTGCCACTTGAGACGCAGATGAGAATCATTACACCCTCTTAATTAGAGGATTTACAGGAAGTGTAGAGGTTATATCATCCAATTAAAAATCATCCAGGAAGTGGAGAAAGGGTATTAGGAACCCTACAGACCACTACTGATGACAGGGTCTTTCACATCATAGACCTGTGCTTAGATTTGTTTTATTTTATAATTTTTACCCCTTTTTCTCCCCAATTTCGTGATATCTAATTGGTAGTTACAGTTTTGTCCCATCGCTGCAAGTCCCATACGGACTCGGGAGTGGCGAAGGTTGAGAGCCATGTGTCCTCCGAAACACAACCCTGCCAAGCCGCACTGCTTCTTGACACACTGCTAACCCAGAAGCCAGCCGCACCAATGTGTCAGAGGAAACACCATACAGCTGGCAACCGAAGTCAGCGTGCACTGCACCCGGCCCGCCACAGGAGTCGCTAGAGCGCGATGGGACAAGGACATCCCGGCCAGCCAAACCCTCCCCTAACCCGGACGACGCTGGGCTAATTGTGCGCCGCATCATGGGTCTCCCGGTCGCGGCCGGCTGCGACACAGCCCGTGATCGAACCTGGATCTTTAGTGACGCTTCTAGCACTGCGATGCAGTGACCGCTGCGCCACTCGAGAGGCCCAGAACTGTGCTTAGATAGTCACAAATAAATACAAGCTATAACAAGGTAGCTAATTCTCTTCAGAGCTACAGTAACAACAGTAACTCATTAGCCGGTATGTCGGCCCAAGGACACATTCTCAGGTCAGCAGTATTTCCCACTAACACAGCACAAATCCACATTAAAGAAGCACCAGATTGAACAAAGTATAAAGATAAAGTATGCACTCACTACTGTAAGTTGCTCTGGATAAGAGCGTCTGCTAAATGACTAAAATGTAATGTTTGTGGCTGAATTCTTGGCAGACAGAGAGAAAGGCCTGTTTGCTTTCAATGTTTTTTGGGGAGCAGGAAACAGTGAACTAACATCCCTGTCTTTCTTTGCCCAGTCAGATTCAATTTTATCCAGCTCCTGTGCTTTTGCCAATGCAGTAACTTTCTTTAATGAATAAAATAATGAATGTGAATTCTCACCATGCCGATGCATTTCTTCAGGATACTCCAGATGCTGACGTCATTCCTGGAGAACATGGGTGCCGGTAAAGACATTCTGTGGGATATAAATGAAATGGACAAACAATAAGGTCAAATCTAAATGGAGTAATCCCACTGAATACAGTGCATTCGGAAAGACCCCTTGACTTTTTCCACATTTTGTTACGTTACAGCCTTATTCTAAAATGGATTGTTTTTTCCCCTCATCCATCTACACACAATACCCCATAATGACAAAGTAAAAACAGGTTTACCAAAAAAAGAAAAAATCACATTTACATAAGTATTCAGACCCTTTACTCAGTACTTCGATGAAGCACCTTTAGCAGCGTTTACAGCCTTGTGTCTTCTTGGGTATGACGCTACAAGCTTGGCACACCTGTATTTGGGGAGTTTCTCCCATTCTTCTCTGCAGATCCTCTCAAGCTCTGTCAGGTTGGATGGGGAGCATCGCTGCACAGCTATTTTCAGGTCTCTCCAGAGATGTTTGATCGGGTTCAAGTCCGGGCTCTGGCTGGGCCACTCAAGGACATTCAGAGACTTGTCACGAAGCCACTTTTGTGTTGCCTTGGCTGTGTGCTTAGGGTAGTTGTCCTGTTGGAAGGTGAACCTTCTCCCCAGTCTGAGGTCCTGAGTGCTCTGGAGCAGGTTTTCATCAACGATCTCTCTGTACTTTGCTCCGTTCATCTTTCCCTCGATCATGACTAGTCTCCCAGTCCCTGCCGCTGAAAAACATCCCCACAGCATGATGCTGCCACCACCATGCTTCACCGTAGGGATGGTGCCAGGTTTCCTCCAGACGTGACACTTGGCATTCAGGCCAAAGAATTCAATCTTCATTTCATCAGACCAGAGAATCTTGTTTCTCATGGTCTGAGAGTCCTTTAGGGGCCTTTTGGCAAACTCCAAGCGGACTGTAATTTGCCTTTTACTGAGGATTGGCTCCGTCTGGCCACTCTACCATAAAAGCCTGATTGGTGGAGTGCTGCAGAGATGGTTGTCCTTCTGGAAGGTTCTCCCATCTCCACATAGGAACTCTGGAGCTCTGTCAGAGTGACCATCGGGTTCATGGTCACCTCCCTGACCAAGGCCCTTCTCCCCTGATTGCTCAGTTTGGCAGGGCGGCCAGCTCTAGGAAGAGTCTTGGTGGTTCCAAACTTCTTCCATTTAAGAATGATGGAGGCCACTGTGTTCTTGGGGACCTTCAATGCAGCAGAAATGTTTTGGTACCCTTCCCCAGATCTGCTCCTCGACACAATCCTGTCTTGGAGCTCTACGGACAATTCCTTCGACCTCATGGCTTGGTTTTTGCTCTGACATGCACTGTCAACTGTGGGACCTTATATAGACAGGTGTGTGCCTTTCGAAATCATGTCCAACCAATTGAATTTACCACAGGTGGACTCCAATCAAGTTGTAGAAACATCAAGGACGATCAATGAAAACAGTATGTACCCGAGCTCAATTTCGAGTCTCATAGCAAAGGGTCTGAAAAAATAATTTAATCAATTTTAGAATAAGGCTGTAATGTTATAAAATGTGGAAAAAGTCAAGGGATGCAGACAGTTAGCCTGGTTCCAGAGAATTGAACAAGCTAAAAAAAACACTCAAGGACTTTGGTGACTGAGTAATTAATGAGGGGTTTAAGCCATAGTCCCTTAGAGTAGCATATTTCCTATATATAGCTACTGTATAGATAAGGCACGGCTCTCATCCCCCTATGTCTCAACAACGGTCTAGTGCTAGGCTATCATGAATCCCATCTCCTTTATGAGAGCATGTCTGACTGCACCATGATTAATAGTGGGCCCATGAGCGTGAAGCATCGTTGATATCAATTAGCTTATATTTGGTTGGAGAGAGTCCAGAATCCTGGAAGGAGAATGGATGCATCCCAAATGGCACCCTATCCTCAATTTAGCGCACTAGGGGAGACTGGGGTAAGTTGAACAATTTTTTACATTCAGCATCTCTCCCTCACGGGAAATATAGTATAGTTTCAGGTTTCATTAATCGTATGTACGAGATACACATGGTATCCAACGAAATGCTTACTTGCAGGTCCCTTCTCGACAATGCAAAAACAATAAGAAATAATCAAAGTTAAGAATACGAACAAAGTAAATGACTCAGTAGAATAAATTTTTTTTAGTATAAGTATAATAATAATATATATATATATATATATATATTTCACCTTTATTTAACCAGGTAAGCCAGTTGAGAACAAGTTCTCATTTACAACTGCGACCTGGCCAAGATAAAGCAAAGCGATAAAAACAACACCACAGAGTTACATATGGGGTAAAACAAAACATAAAGTCAAAAAAATACAACAGAAAATATATATACAGTGTGTGCAAATGTAGCAAGTTATGGAGGTAAGGCAATAAATATTCCATAGTGCAAAATAATTACAATTAGTATTAACACCGGAATGATAGATGTGCAAGAGATGATGTGCAAATAGAGATACTGGGGTGCAAATTAGCAAAATAAATAACAATATGGGGATGAGGTAGTTGGGTGGGCTAATTTCAGATGGGCTGTGTACAGGTGCGGTGATCGGTAAGGTGCTCTGACAACTGATGCTTAAAGTTAGTGAGGGAGATAAGAGTCTCCAGCTTCAGAGATTTTTGCAGTTCGTTCCAGTCATTGGCAGCAGAGAACTGGAAGGAATGGCGGCCAAAGGAGGTGTTGGCTTTGGGGATGACCAGTGAGATATACCTGCTGGAGCTCATACTACGGGTGGGTGTTGCTATGGTGACCAATGAGCTAAGATAAGGCGGAGATTTGCCTAGCAGTGATTTATAGATGGCCTGGAGCCAGTGGGTTTGGCGACGAATATGTAGTGAGGACCAGCCAACAAGAGCGTACAGGTCACAGTGGTGGGTAGTACATGGGGCTTTGGTGACAAAACAGATGGCACTGTGACATCCAATTTGCTGAGTAGAGTGTTGGAGGCTATTTTGTAAATGACATCGCCGAAGTCAAGGATCGGTAGGATAGTCAGTTTTACGAGGGCATGTTTGGCAGCATGAGTGAAGGATGCTTTGTTGCGAAATAGGAAGCTGATTCTAGATTTAACTTTGGATTGGAGATGCTTAATGTGAGTCTGGAAGGAGAGTTTACAGTCTAACCAGACACCTAGGTATTTGTAGTTGTCCACATACTCTAGGTCAGACCCGTCGAGAGTAGTGATTCTAGTCGGGTGGGCGGGTGCCAGCAGCGTTCGATTGAAGAGCAAGAAACTGATACAGGAAGGCATAATTTATAGTCCAATATTTACATGTGTTTTGGGGAAGGGGGATTAGGGGGCAAGTGTTTAAATTGCGCAGTATTAGCTATCATAATACATCTTGAAGCAGCAGTTGTGATGTGTGTGTAGCATGAATGTATATGTGTGTGTGTAAGGTGCGGAGAGCGTAGTATTCTTTCTAACAAAGATATCTACATATATTTCAGGATGTTGTGTATCCCTGGAAATAATCAGAATTCATGTAAACATGACAGTTTCTAGGTCTCTAGGCATAACTTACACCAGGTATGGGGTAAGTTGAGCTGCAGGACAGGGTAAATTAAGCTGCCTTCAAATTTCTGTACTGAATGAAATATTACCAATACCTTTTAAAAACCATGTCTATCTTTATTTCCCAAACATTCAAACAATTCAACACAATCACTTTTTTGTCTTTTAATCATTTAAATCATATTTTAACAGAGGCTTATCAACAAACAAACACTTTTTAAACACTTTTAACATAGACCAGGCCCTGTTGTTACCTCATAGCCCAGCGATAATGCCTTGCATTACACCTGGGAAGAAAACACTTTAATTTGCTCAACTTGCCATTGGCTCAACTTATCCCAAAGCCATTGGTTCAATTTACCCCAAGGCAAAGATTTTGACTATATTAGCCCAGACAGCTACAAGGATGCACTTTCATGTTAGGTTAAGGACCTCATATTGAAGCTTATAGAGACCCCAAACTGATGTATAGAACAATCTTAAAATTATTGGTGAAAAACAGTTTTTGGGACCTAACCACTTCTTCCATGTGGTTTATTTCTTCACAGACTCCATGAAATGATGACCTCTTCCTAAATATTTGGTCAGATGATTAGTTTTGTATGTGGTTTACTAGAAACAAGGGTGGCTCAACTTACTCCTTTGGTTCAACTTACCCCACTCTCCCCTACTTTTGACCAGGGCCCATAGAGCTCCCTTGTTCCATCACACAACAGAGACGTATCTACACATAGCCAGAGACGCTATAACTCTGAATGACATGAGTTATAGCGTATAAACAAGCTCCTCATCAATCTTTTACAACACACACACACACGCACACCCCTTTCCTCTCACTCAGTCTTTCGTTCTCTAAACTGGCAAGCACTAAATTATTCACAGGTCAATTGTTGGATTAAGAAAGAGAGGGCAGGCAACCATCCTCATCCACAGAAATAAAGTAGATTGACCAATCTTCAAAAAGCCTTCTGCTCTGACCCAGTGTACCAAGCACCAATAAGCCACTAGCCTGCTGAATGACATAACTGTGGATGGAAAAACAAGAGACACCGGAATAAAAACCTAGACGGACAGGGGTATATCACATTACATACCGTTGGTGCTATAGCATACAAAGTCATTTCCTACAAAATGTCACACGTGATAAAAACACACGTTTTGAAACAACAATACAATATAAATAATGATAGAATATACTAGAGTAAATGAACCGCACAGATAAAAGCCTTGCTTTTACACGCACTGGAGAAGAAAGGGAACAAGAAAACCAAGCAGGAAACCAAGTGGAAAACAAGCAGGACACCAAGTGGAAACCAAGCAGGAAACCAAGTGGAAACCAAGGCAGGAAACCAAGTGGAAAACAAGCAGGACACCAAGCAGGAAACCAAGCAGGAAACAAGCAGGAAACCAAAGTGGAAAACAAGCAGGAAACCAAGTGGAAAACAAGCAGGAAACCAAAGTGGAAAACAAGCAGGACACCAAGCAGGAAACCAAGCAGGAAACCAAAGTGGAAAACAAGCAGGAAACCAAGTGGAAAACAAGCAGGACACCAAGCAGCAAACCAAGTGGAAAACAAGCAGGACACCAAGCAGGAAACCAAGTGGAAAACAAGCAGGTAACCAAGCAGGAAACCACGTGGAAAACAAGCCGTTACATCACATATTAACTACAGCATGATCCCACCTGTGCTTCTTGACTCCATTGCATTGGACCTTCTGGTCGCCATCGTTAACCTCCCCGGACATGTCGCTGGCGGCGGCGGGTCCCCTGAGGGTGCTGCGGAGACGGAGGCTGCTGCTGAACACAAGGGGCTCTCTCCCCTCTTCCTTCACCTCCTCTTCTTCCTCCTCTTCGAACGAGTGTCCGGCCACAGACAGGAAGCCGCTCAGAGAGAGAGAACGCTCGTCGTCGGACTCTGCAGTGGGAGGGGGGTGCCAGGGGCCAGAGACAGAGAGGGGGTCATGTCACCTTTGAGCCTAGCAAAGCAAACAAAAAAAAAAGGATTGCCTTCACAATCCTCCACCCGGTGGTGACTGACTGAACTCCCTCCTCCTCCTCCTCCCTGCAGCCAGCGAAACCCCACCTGGGGGATAGGGTTCCAATGAGAGGCCACACAGACGTTCCGCTTCCTCTGGGTGCTGTGTCTGCTGTGGTTAGTATAGTACTCTGGCTCCGCCTCTAACCTAGACCAAACGCTAACGCTACCAGGGACAACACAGGTAGTAACACCCAGGAAAAAGGAGAGGGGAAAACAGAACACAATGAGGAGGAGCTGAGATACTGTATCATAGAATATTGTATAATAGTTTTTGTAGTGCTTCATGTGAGGCAGGGGTTACAGAGCTGGCATTACTCTATAATCAATAACTCAATGATTGTGGCAATACAAATGCATTTTTTGGGCATGCCAATAATGCATTTTAATTCAAAAAAATTTAGCTGGCATGATCAGTTATGGGAACAACAAAGCTTCAAATCTCTCGTAAGTAGAGTAATGCTATTGATAGATGTGGGTCATGTAGTTTAATCCAATAATAAAGTTCAATCACAAAAATGGACATGATGCTTTGATGCATCTTTATTATGTAAACAAACACAAACAAGATTGAAGCGGTCTAACATGCTGGGGGATTTTCTCTCTTATATTAAACGTAAACATTGTATTATAGATGCAGTAAGCAGGGTATATTTATAAAGAGTAGAGAGAGAGAGCTCTGACCAGTAGATAACTGTGGATGGATGAATAGTGCAACAATCAACATACTGTATAGCAAAGCAGCACACTCCTATTTTAGCCTGCATACAGTACCAACCACTACTCTACTGCAAGGCTCTAGGGTATAGGCTACACTGTGCTGGAGCAGCCCACTACAGAGTTCTACATCTATTTCAGTACTAAAGCATTGTTAGTTCACATTAAGGCCAAGCATAGACTAATTATTGTAGCTAACAATTCCATTTAATCTGGCCATATCATATTCTTAAGAGGTTTCACTTAACCAGCTCCCTTTGAATTGAGTTGGAATTTTAGAGCCTAGTGAGAGATATTTCCTCCTAAAACGAGAGAGAATATTTCAGTCTTAAGAAGAAGCGCTAGCTGTCATTAGCCTTGGGATTCATTAGCAGCAGCCATTTTGAGATTGTTACTTCTCTGCAACACTAGTTGTAAGGGCCATTACTGAGCCCAACAGGGAGACAATTAGCCAGTGTAGCAGGTAGCTGATTGTTGAGTAACCAGCCGTGTAACGCAGCACTGGGATTGGTCATTAGACAGGAAGACAAGGAGGGAGGCTGGGGTGGCTGAGGTGCCCTGGGGACCTTCTGGGGCAAAGGACTGAGTTGTGGGTGCTTTAGCATGTGTAGTGAATCATGTTCCGTGCACACAGACAGAGACACATACTGATATTGATTACTGTATTGTTGGGAAAGAGCAAGCAAGAAAGGCATTTCACTGTTCTTGTGCACGTGACAAAAACTTGAAACTTGAAAACTGAGGGAGATGTTACCTTAATTCTGTTACCAAAGTTTGCATCTGCACAATTTTTCCAGTATTTTTTTTATTTTGCATTTACTGTGTAAATTGTTCAAAGCAGTCATTGTGTATAGAGTTGCATGGTTTGTTAAACTTTGAAATCAACGGTTGTTGTTTGGCATACATTTTAAAGTGACAAATCGGACCGCGGAATTCCATTACCGTGGAACTTCCCTAGGGCAGTCAGCAGAAGGTCATACGTCATACAACACATTGCACAATTATCAACTCAGTCTCTGTAATCTGTATAAAGAAAGAACCAAATAAAGAGTGACATCTTCCTCAGCCTCAGAGGCTGCTGTCTGCTGGAGAGAGATGTGTTGCTGGATCCTAGAGGTGTCTGTGCTGCTGATAAAAATAAAACAAGGTGTCTGTAAACCACTGCCTATTCTTCAACACAGAAACAACTCCACAGGGGAAGTGGTTTTTATTACTGAAAACAGTGTGGAGGAGCTAAGGTTAGGGAGCCAGGTAGGGTCAATGAACAATTTAGACTAAAGGAATCAACTCAGCTTTATAGTTCAGAGCTGCAGAGCCACGATAGTCAGCCGGCTCATTTTTTATTACAGCTTTACAAGGCTCATTTAATTGGTTCTTATCAAGGTGTGGCTCGATGCTGTGTACTCTGGAAGCGTTAATACATCGCTTTGTATAGAGGTGCTCATAGAGGTCTTTCAGACATGTTCTGAGTTACAGGTCAATGAAAAACAGAATAGCCTGTAACTAAAATATGTTAATGGTATAATTAATGTCCATTGTTGCGATCTTAAACAGCAGCCTATTCTCTATATCCGTATATACACACACACTAAACAGGAGGACCACGGTCCAGATTCAGACCCAGAACGGGGTGAATATGGACTATGGGTCCCGGCTTTTTTAGGAACTCAGTCGGGCTTTCAATTGAATGCTGTTGAGAGTTGTAATAGTAGAATGCACAAGGTGCAATTTAGAAATTTGGTAGTGCATGGGCAGTTTTCCTAGTTATGTCATTCACTGGCAGATCTTAGAGAGCTATTGATAACCTGTCAGAAATGTCCAGTTGATCAAGTAGCCCATGTTAGCTAGGTAAGTAAGTTAGGCTAACTAGCTATCTAAATCCTGTAGTTATCATGGCCAGATTATGTGCCCATGGGGGCCTTGAACACATAGATTTTTTTGGAGTCACTCAGGTATCATACGAACACACATACGATATGGCAAAATGTGTAGAATTGCAGGAAATGATCTTAACAACTGCTAACTGTTCTTTCCGCCAAAAAGAGGAATGTGAACAGTTTGGGGTTGCGAGGTGGGGGGTTTGTTACTACCAATAAATGACCATATCCATACGGATGTTTGCCAACTAGGAAATGTGTGTGACCGGACCTTCTCAAATAGTAGTTGAGTACCCCTGCCCTATATAGTGAACTTCCAGAGCTCTGGTCAGTATGGGGCACTATGTAGGGAAAAGGGTGCCATTTGCGATGCACTCCAAGGGTTTAATGAAGACAGTTGGGTTTGACTGACCGGACAGGGCATCATAGAAGTCATCCTCTGTGAGTGTGCTTAGCGTAGAGGACCTCCTGCCTTTACAGAGGGACTGCTGGTCTAGTTCCTGGTGCTCTGTAGCTATGGTCTGGAGCGCCTCTGATAGCAGCTTGTTCTTCTCTACTTCCTGCTCCAACTTCTGGCTCCACACCTGGGACACCACACACACACAGGGTATATTAGACATGGCATAGTGTATGGAACATGTGCACACACAAACACTTGTTGGCACATTAGACAAGACATGGCACAACATGCCATTACAAACACTCACGCATAAAAATGTGACATTTGTTTTAATGCATCTATAATATATCCTCTGATAAACAGACTGTGTTTTTGGTATTGATCTCTTCCTCTGTAGAGTTCTGTAGTTGAAGCTGCTCCTGACGGGCCGGCAGGTCATTGTTCTAACCCCGGCCCTTCAGATCCAGTTTCCTCCACTCTGAACCAAACACCCCAGTCTCAGACAGCACCGTGGCCCAGGATTGAGTGTCTCTCCTGGGCAACCTGAGCTCAGCTGCTGGGGCACAGAGAAGAGACTAATAAACAGCAACCTGACAAAACAACACTCTTACCAAGCAACAGGTTACGTCAGAACCCGGGGCTTTGAACACTCAAGAGACAGCTGGAAAGATAGCTAACCTACTTCAAGTTATATTAATACAGTTTCTCTTTTGAAGTGTTTCCAGAGAAAACAAGTACTATGGTAAATACTGTAAATAAATGTGTAAATACTAAGTGTAGATGTTCCCTACTGATCTACTGAGAGGGGAAGTCAATTGAATTCTGTGAGTAAAGAAAGCTCAGTGACTGACGACAAAAACAAAGTGAGCCAAGTCTCCACAGACTGAAAAGATGCCAAAGTCACCTTGGGGAAGGAAGGAAGGCAGCCTGAGCTGACAGTCTCCGTCGGAAACTGGAGCCCGTAAATCAGGCTGTACATCTGAGATAGCGAAGAGAGGCCACCGTCCCCATAGTAGTACTGTTCACACATTGTCAAGCCTGTACTCATCAGTCAAAAGGGCATTTGGGCAATAAATAACACAACCTCAACAAAACACCTTTAATGTAAAAATCATACTGTAGTCAGTGGTGTTAACTAACCACTAGATCAGTCACCTGAGAGGGGTAGGGGACGGACTGTGAGAGTGTACTTGTTATCTATTCTATATTATTATTTAAAGACAGAGTAATACCTCGGAATGGATTGCTGAATAAAATGACTCTTTTACATAACTATATAAAAACAAGGACGAAAAACAACCAATTCAAAATCAGATAGAAACTCCAAATAGAGAATACTTCAATACAGAGTAGGATAAACAATAACACTTCAATAGCAGAAGAACGTCTGGAGAGTGCAGTCACTATGATATGGTTGAACTATGCTCTTTCTTAGAAGTCAGAACACTTACAGATAGAGATAGTAAACACAAAACTCAAAGTAGTTGCCTTGTAAGTTCACAGTGTTAGCCATAACAGGTGCTGAGCTTCGGTGGGCTAAAACATTCATACAAAATATTCTTCATCCCCTCAAACCCAGACGATGGAGGAGAAACTACTGCAACACTATAATAATATGCACTCAATCTTTCCTCTATGGCCCTGACTGGCTTCTAGCCCAATGTTAATTACCAAAGCCTGCTCCAGTGCTGCGTATGAGGTCAGAGGCGTGGATGACTCCTGTGAATCAATATACTGATGCAGGTTGTACTGAGCTGCTTTAAAAACAGCTCTACTCTCTGATCAATCGGGTTGGCAGGTGGGGCGCTGAAATGTGAACCTATCACAATGGACAGGATCATTACTTTACCTTAGCGTTGATTGAACAACAACACATCAAACAGGAAGAAAGGCAAACACGCTGCTTAATGTACCTGAAATGACATCAAAATGGAATCCAATACAACAGGATTTATTTTTGTCAAACCCTAACCTAGGCCCCTATAAAATCCGTTATTTTTTTGCCTGACCCCGTTTAGTTTTCACCAAATTCCGTTTTCTCCATTTAGTTTTTCCAGGTTTCTGTTTTCCCCTGTTTTTTCAGGTTTTCGCTCTCAAAACCACACCTTTTTAATAAAAAAACAACTATACTAAACAAAAATACAAACAACATGTAAAGTGTTGGTCCCATGTTATATGAGCTGAAATAAAAGATCACAGAAATGATCCATACGCATGAAAAGCTTATTTCTCTCAAATTTTCTACATCCCTGTTAGTGAGCCTTTCTTCTTTGCCAAGAAGCTGATTAAACAGCAAGATCATTACCCAGGCGTACCTTGTGCTGGGGACAATAAAAGGCCACTCGAAAATGTGCAGTTTTGTCACACAACACAATGTCTCAAGTTTTGAGAGAGCGTGCATTTGCCATGCTGACTGCAGGAATGTCCAACAGAGCTGTTGCCAGAGAATTTCTCTACCATAAGCCGCCTCCAACGTCGTTTTAGAGAATATGGCAGTACGCCCAACTGGCCTCACAACCGCAAACCATGTGTAACCACGCCAGCCCAGATCCTCCACATCCGGCTTCTTCACCTGCAGGGATCGTCTGAGAACAGCCACCCAGACAACTGAGGAGTATTTCTGTCTGTAATAAAGTCCTTTTGTGGGGAAAAACGAATTCTGGTTGTCTAGACCTGGCTCCCCAGTGGGTGAGCCTGGCTCCCAAGTGGGTGGGCCTATGCCCTCCGAGGCCCACCCATGGCTGTGTCCCTACCAAGTCATGTGAAATCCATAGATAATTAATTTATTTCAATTGATTGACTTCCTTATATGAACTGTAACGCAGTAAAATCATTGAAATTGTTGCATGTTGCATTTATATTTTTGTTCAGTATACAAAAGTAGCCTATGCTTACCTGGCAGAATGGTATCATGATTATTTGCATAAATCCAGTGGGTATTTGTTTAGCAAACTCTACTCTCACATGTGAGCTACAAAAACATAGCTAAAGAACAGCCTCTTAATACACGCACACTGGAATTAAAAGGTAACTACACCCAAAAATAGAAATTTCTCACATTTTTCCCAGACCTCAAAAGTCGTCTCCTGGTGTGGTTAAAGCATTGTTGTGGACTTATAACATCCAATTTATACTGAACAAAAATATAAAACACAGCATGCAACAATTTCTAAGATTTTACTGAGTTACAGTTCATAGAAGGAAAACAGTCAATTGAAATAAATTCATTAGGCCCTAATATTACATGACTGGGCATGGGCGCAATCACAGGTGGGCCTGGGACGGCATAGGCCCACCCACTTGGGAGCCAGGTCCACTCACTAAAGAGAAATAAGCTTTTTGTGCGTATGGAACATATCTGGGATCTTTTATTTCAGTTCATGAAACATGGGACCAACACTTCACATGTTGCATATATATATTTGTTCAGTGAGTTAATATTTAAATGAGAAGGTTTTGGGGATATCCTTTCTACCAGAAGATTTTTAATTAGCATCATCGCTAATGGCTACACAAAGTGGTAGCTGCACGCAACGCACATACAGTGAAGGAAAAAAGTATAAGATCCCCTGCTGATTTTGTACGTTTGCCCACTGACAAAGACATGATCAGTCTATAATTTTAATGGTAGGTTTATTTGAACAGTGAGACACAGAATAACAACAAACAAATCCAGAAAAACACATGTAAAAAATGTTATAAATTGATTTGCATTTTGAATGAGGGAAATAAGTATTTGACCCTTCTGCAAAACATAACTTAGTACTTGGTGGCAAAACCCTTGTTGGCAATCACAGAGGTCAGACATTTCCTGTAGTTGGCTACCAGGTTTGCACACATCTCAGGAGGGATTTTGTCCCACTCCTCTTTGCAGATCTTCTCCAAGTCATTAAGGTTTCGAGCCTGACGTTTGGCAACTCAAACCTTCAGCTCCCTCCACAGATTTTCTATGGGATTAAGGTCTGGAGACTGGCTAGGCCAATCCACGACCTTAATGTGCTTCTTCTTGAGCCACTCCTTTGTTGCCTTGGCTGTGTGTTTTGGGTCATTGTCATGCTGGAATACCCATCCACGACATATTTTCAATGCCCTGGCTGAGGGAAGGAGGTTCTCACCCAAGATTTGACGGTACATGGCCCCGTCCATTGTCCCTTTGATGCGGTGAAGTTGTCCTGTCCCTTTAGCAGAAAAACACCCCCAAAGCATAATGTTTCCACCTCCATGTTTGACGGTGGGGATGGGGTTCTTGGGGTCATAGGCAGCATTCCTCCTCCTCCAAACACAGCGAGTTGAGTTGATGCCAAAGAGCTCGATTTTGGTTTCATCTGACCACAACACTTTCACCCAGTTCTCCTCTGAATCATTCAGATGTTCATTGGCAAACTTCAGACGGCCCTGTATATGTGCGTTCTTGAGCAGGGGGACCTTGCGGGCGCTGCAGGATTTCAGTCCTTCACGGCGTAGTGTGTTACCAATTGTTTTCTTGGTGACTATGGTCCCAGCTGCCTTGAGATCATTGACAAGATCCTCCCGTGTAGTTCTGGGCTGATTCCTCACCGTTCTCATGATCATTGCAACTCCACGAGGTGAGATCTTGCTTGGAGCCCCAGGCCGAGGGAGATTGACAGTTCTTTTGTGTTTCTTCCATTTGCGAATAATCACACCAACTGTTGTCACCTTCTCACCAAGCTGCTTGGCAATGGTCTTGTAGCCCATTCCAGCTTTGTGTAGGTCTACAATCTTGTCCCTGACATCCTTGGAGAGCTCTTTGGTCTTGGCCATGGTGGAGAGTTTGGAATCTGATTGATTGATTGCTTCTGTGGACAGGTCTTTTATACAGGTAACAAACTGAGATTAGGAGCACTCCCTTTAAGAGTGTGCTCCTAATCTCAGCTCATTACCTGTATAAAAGACACCTGGGAGCCAGAAATCTTTCTGATTGAGACGGGGTCAAATACTTATTTCCCTCATTAAAATGCAAATCAATTTATAACATTTTTGACATGCGTTTTTTCTGGATTTTTTGTTGTTGTTATTCTGACTCTCACTGTTCAAATAAACCTACCATTAAAATTATAGACTGATCATTTCTTTGTCAGTGGGCAAACGTACAAAATCAGCAGGGGATCAAATACTTTTTTCCCCTCACTGTACACAGACGGGGAATTCTCCTTGCCTCTTCAGAAAGTTGCAGGAAATATGAATCACTGATGCATTGTG